GGACACCTTCATGTTTGAGGGCCATGACACCACAGCCAGTGGCCTGTCTTTCATCCTCTACTGTCTGGCCTGCAACCCAGAACATCAGAAGATTTGCAGGAAGGAGATTATGGAGGCCTTGCATGACAAGGAAACCATGGAGTGGTAGGCTTATGAAAGGACAACATTGCAATAGGGAGACAAGTTGGAGACATATAAACATTTACATTTTAAATGATTTCTTATTAGTTGACTTCACTAACACTGCATGTCTGTCTCATTTTAAGGGAGGATCTCAGTAAAATCCCATACACTACAATGTGCATAAAAGAAGCTCTCCGCCTTTACCCCCCTGTACCAGGAATTGCCAGAAAAACCACCAAAACTGTAACCTTTTGTGATGGGAGAACAGTGCCTGCAGGTCAGTGATTTTACTCTGTTGTTATTATCAAAGAGTAAACATCAAATGTCTTCACTTAATAATGCTTTTGGAAACATTTCATGCTACATGGTAAACACAAACTCTTAACCGACTTTGTTTGTCTTTACACACATAAATTACTTTTCTTTACAATTCAATAAAGGACCTATATTGACTTAATACTTATTACTTTATTATTCTACAAAGGTACGTTGGTATTATTTGATTGTATTGTCACATACAGTATTGTTTCTATAAACTAGTATAAATCTCTTAAACGTGTGGTGTAATTGCTTTGTCAGTGTGGCGTTCTTCCAAATGGGAGTATTTAAATGTTGGCACCAGATTATTATTATATACATTATATGGGCAGAAAGTACACCGCCGCCTACACATTACACTCACTGGAACTGCTCAGCCATGGGAATCCAAGAGCCATGAAGCTCCAGGCACACAGTTTTTGTGCTGATGTTGATGCCAGAGGAGGTTTAGAGCTCTTCAGTTACTGAGTCAGCAGAGCGTTGGAGATTTTTATGCACTCTGCAACCTCACTGTACAGAATGGTGCACATCAGTTTAATGTTGGTTTTTGCTACAAGAGTTGTCAGCCTCTCTATCAGAAGGAGAGGCTGACATCCAGGGAGTAGATTGTAAGAGGTGGATTTTTTTTACACTCAGACTGATGGTACAAGGAGATATGACATGGTGTAGGAGGATGTGGAGGGGTGATATGGTGTGGTTTCTGCGATCAAGAACAGGAAATACATTAGAACATGAATTAAGATTAAAGGGTAATAAAGCTGGCCACAAATTCCTCCACAACAAATCTGCTAAGGCGGTGCATCAACCTGATACCGCTTCTTAAGAGCAATCACATTTATTAAAACACTACCCAAAATGGGCCACAAGATGGCACTCCAACACAAGAGATGAAAGATTTAGAGGCAGTTGTTCAGCAGCCAGCCCTCTACCACTACTTAATACACCCATGTTACAGCGTACAACGTCACATGAATTGGTAAAGGGAACAAATAAAACTGGAACAAGGCCAGAAACTATCCAATAGCTGGGCCACCATAGTTATCTATATCTAGCACATATGCCAAAGGTAGCTAGAATCAATACACACAGGGTAAAGCATCTTAAAAATGAAATGTAAACTCACGTTTATGTGACACACACCATTTACAACAAACACAGGGGGGCTATTTGCTTTTCTTCCCAGCAGCTCTCCCCTCGTCTCTCATCAGCGTATGAACTAAGTCAGGCTATCTAGCTCAGGAGTCCCATGAATCCCATCACTGCAAAGCTGCTGGGTAATGTAGTTCACGCTAACACGGACTTTTCTACACTCACTCTGCAACTTTACATGGTCTGGCACTTCATGGTTGAGATGCTTTAGTTCTTAAACACTTCCAATGTGCAATAATACCACTTACACTTGATCACGCTGGCTGGCTAGCTGCTTGATTTTATGTTTCTGTGCCAACTGGACTTCAAACCCCTGCATCTGAATTATGAGTTGTGTCACAATAAATTTTTCGATATGGTGTATGCCTGTTTTGTTTGAAAGATAATGTTCAGCTACACACACCCTATAATATTTTAATAATAATAAGCCAAGTTCACATTTCTTTCAAATGTAGGTTCTGTTGTTGGAATAGGTGTTTTTGGAATTCACAGGAATGCGTCTGTCTGGGAAAACCCTAATGTAAGTAAAGACAATTTTATTCCCAGCACAACTTACTACAGGGAATACATCATCAACAGAATCTATGATGAAATAAAATTGTGACGTTTTCAGCACTCTGCTCATAAGGCTGCATATAATTTATCAAATAACTGAAGAAGCAATCATGAAACTGGTGCATCAAATTAATTACTAGTGCTGTATATGCTGAGGTGGGTAGGTCCCTGGTGCCAAAGTGGACCTCAGGACAGATTCAAGCTGGTTTAATGACTTACTTTATTATGTGTCAGAATGCAGTTTTCTCTGCACAAGTGATAAGGGCAATGAGGTTCAGAAAATAAGTAATACACATAACACTGCTCTCTTTCTTTGTCCTGTATTACATTAGGTCTTTGACCCTCTGCGTTTCCTACCAGAGAACATTGCCAAGAGATCTCCTCATGCTTTTGTGCCCTTCTCAGCTGG